CATTACAACTAGCTATACTCTCAGGTAGGAAAAATTTTGAACAGCCCGGCATCGATGTGAACACACAACTAAAACTGTTAGTGTGACAAGCAGATCCACCAGAAATGTAAGAAGAGCTCTCTTGGGACACCTTGCTTTCAGACAGAACACAGGGAAATCCTTCTCCCCATTCTCCCCATAGCAGCACTTCCCTCCACAGCAAGGGCCAGGTAAATGCCCTGCATTGTGCAGGTGCCCTGTGGCATCCGGCTGTTTTTCTTCCTGTGCTCGCCAAGTACAAGACAAAAGCCCCAGCTGTCTTCTATGCAAGAAGAGAGAACAGAAGGAACTTTCCTATCTCTCCCCACATATCTTCTGGGAATATATTCCCACACAGATCTGATGGGAAACCAATTTCATCTTAAAAAATAAATTAAAAAATTAGGAAGCAATTATCACAGAAGTGAAATAGAAAAAGATAAGAAAGCTCACTATACTAACAATGTTTGAAAAGCAGACCTCTCACTCCTAATATAGCTTCTTCTGCCAGATGCTGTAATTAAGTCACATTTCCATGGCCGAGTTGCTTTTCTTGTCACGGAAATAATTATGTCATAACCATCAGGGGTCAGACGATGCATAAGCACCTACTCAAACCGGGAGCACTTGTCAAACAAAAACAGAACACGCACCTCCTATTTTCAAACAAACACAACAACTCTTAAACCCAGGCTACCGTCCAGGAAACAAAGTAACGTGCATGATAGCATGAAAAACAGAAACAATTAATAGATTCTCACGCAGATGCCACTATCGCCTTAGCACCCCAGTCCCTCCCCAGAACCTAAGCCTGGATCTGATTATATTGTTTCTCTCTGTGTAACCAGCTCGTCCTCCTTTGACAGACCTAGAAACAACTTTGAAAGCCAGAAAGCCTCAGGTAATGTGACACATTCAGCCAACTGGCAAACTGCAACCTACTGCAAAAGCCCGAGAGTCGCTTATGTATTTGTACACGAGATAAGCCAACAAAAGAGCCCTAACAGAG